TATATATATACACATATACATACACACACACACATATATATATATATATATATACACACACACATATATATATAACTCTAGTTTACCAGTACAGTATACCAATTGCAATAATTATCAAAACCAAATAATATACTCATTCCCATCCCCAAATAAACAATGTAAATTATTACCAACTCAAAAATTATTAAAAACATGTACACGGGTGAACCCCGCCCCCCTTGTAAAAAGACTATCATACTGGGACCCATGATATGTCCTATTTTAAATATGGACCCTGATATCATGGGTCCCAATACAATGGTCTTTTAAAAGGGGGGTACATGTTTTTACTAATTTTTGAGTTGGAAGTAAAATACGTTGTTTATTTGGGTATGGGAATAGGTATCAATTATTTTTGCTTTTGAAGATGACGCTGCACTGTAGCTATCAAGAAGCAGCTTTGTTGCCCAAGGTTTCTCTCCTGGTTTGGACTACAAACACTTCCATTATATAGAGGGGAATTGTTTTGTAGCTCACAGAAGGAGGATGACATTCCTTGAAACTTTAGTTTAGGAAGTCACAAGGGCACTGGGTTTCTATCCGAGTCAACAAGGTTTTTTGTTGTATTTAAAAACATGTACATTGCATGAAATAAAGAAAACCAAATGCAGTCACAATGTCTAAAGACTAGTAAACTGCAATATATAACCATTTTGTTCTTAGGGTTAGATATACTTTCATCTACAGATTGTGGTCTGGTATGGGTAAAGTGTAGTAATCCAGAGAAACCAATCAAAAATCTATTTTTATTTTCCCTGCAGCTCCAACATGAATGGAGGAATATTACTGGAAGCACAATTGCTATGTTTTGTACACCACTCTTAGCAGAACCTTAGTAAATGAAACCAGTACTGTGTAACAGTAATGTGGCAACCCAAGCTGTTCAAGTGTTATGAACTGAAGCTTCTGACAAGTTTTTCTGCTGTAAATTGTAATTTGCCCTCCATAGCTGGAGGACAAAAGACTCATTTATCCCTAGATAAGGGTCAGCAATGAAAAACTGAGCAGGCTTCTTCCTTATCTTAATATACTAATGATAAATAAATGAGTTACTCTAATTAATGTGCTGTTTATGGTTCAGACACAACTCCTGCAGCCAGTTAATGTATCTTTGTAATCAACACGGTAGGATGGAAGTAGAGATGTTAGGGTGAATGCTAGATCTTGATTGTGTACAATTATATGGCCAGATATGTGAAAGTCATGCCTTTTAAACTCAACTGATCAACCCTAACGGACCAGCTTGCAAAAAACTTATATCTGATTTTTGATAGATACTGGGGAATTAAACCACCTACAAGTTCCCACTGCTAAGGTCTGTAGCCATCACTCTCTGTGATGGATGTTTAATCTTTTTGTTTTGTAACATGGAGAATGGAACAGGAAGTGGGGTAACATCGGAGACTGTCCAAAACATGTAGTTGTGTAATGTGGGCAGGAATGAAGATAGCAACTAAGGCAGAGTAATTATGCTGCTGGGGTCTGCAAGACATATTAAAAGCAAGCGGGTAACCAAGCCCACCAGGCTCCAGCCATAACCTACTCACCTCTAGGTGGACTAACCCTTTAGTGAATACAACTGTGACTCTCACCTGGACTACCAGCAGCTAATCCTACACTGTGGTTTTACAGTAAAAAAACAAAGTTGCTTTAAAAGTGCTGGAAACAGTTTTAAATATGGTGTTCCTCAGTCGAGTTTTACAACCTGATAGTAAAACAATAAGCATTAAGGCCCATATTGTAAGGAATTAGACAGGATCTATTTTAGGTCTGGAAATGCACAGCGTAATCTCTTGCCTTGCACAACAAATACTTTTACAAGCTCATTCATCTATAGACACATTATAGCAGAAAGCAAATCGATAAATGTATTTACAACTAAATTACCCACCACGGTGACACACTGCTTATTACCTTTCAAGCTGTAATTTGTGACACATCAGAGGCCCCAAATACTCTCGCTGATGCAACTGACTTCTAATGACCATCGTGGACTAGAAGGCTGTTTCGTAATCTAAGCAATTCTCTGCTTTAGCATTTAATGCATGGCAATTCTCCACCGCTGCATTTAACGTGCACTTGTCATGTGTGAACAAGAAGGCCGCCATCTTGGCAGGCTTAAAATTAATTTAGCCGATCAGTCCAATGATAATTTTCTTGAGTGATACAGTCATTATTCTCATTTGTATTACAGTGGGGATAACAGGGTGCCAGAGCATCTGTATTCTCCTAATTGTCACAGTGATCTTTCTCAGCAGGGCTGCTGGGAGGATGGAATGTACTGCAATGATTGTTAAAGTGGTCCTATTCTCCAAAATTAAAGCTTTGCCATCTCATAAATAATATCTAGAAAAGCAATTGTAATAATTGAATTTCTCTTGAAAAGTAGTGGTGCACTTTGTCACATGTAACTGTGCCTAGATACTTCTGTGCTTGGAGCCTCATAGCTGCATATCTCCAGTGTGAGCTAAACTAAGTCATACCTCACCCACTCCTGCCTCTGATGGCTGCTATTCTCACGAGTTATACCTGAGGAGATGTAGTGCAAGAATCTTCCTGCTCCTAGTTTAGCTATTCTGTGGATTTGAGTTGTATTCACTTCCCATGTTGCTTCTGGATCATTACCCCTCCAGTCAATAGTTCATATCACCATTCATCAGAGGGCAACTCTAACGTGAGGAAGCAAAGTCCTGCTCCTATACCAAGGTGGCTGTCTCAACAAAGAAGGAGGCATGGTAAGTGGTAAGATCAGCTAAAGGCAAAACTAGTGACTAGTACTTTGCCCTCCATTTCAATTTTTTGTGGGCACTGTTTCCATAGTATATGTCCTCTTTAAGCAAAGGCGTGTGTTAGTGTAACAGTGGCAGTAATCAGTACCACAGTGAGCAGTTTATTCATGTACTAGTACTATGATGTTGTCACATATCTAAATAAATATGCCACCATAATTGTTCCCAATAGTGCAACAGAATGGCTCAAAAAAATAAAAATAAAAGAACTCTGTTTGTACAAACCTTGGGCAAGAGATTGCAGTGGAAGGGAGGGCTGCCCCGGCTGGATTGAAAGGAGACCTTGACGCTGCAGTGTCAGAAGGTGCTGCTGCTGCAGCTGCTGCATTTGTATTAGCTGTTGCTGAAAAGCCAACTGCTGCGTAGCCACTTGCTGCTGCTGCTGTAATGAAAGGAAGCAAAGAATTAAACATGTGAGAGGTCTGCATTCTGCATGCTGCTGAAGAGATCCTCCGATCAACGGGGGACCTTCAATTCAAAGTGTTTCTGTTTATCTAGGTTAGGTTTTCTGTAGAGTGAAGACTTGTCTAAGCTCGATTATTCTGTGCTTCTTGGCTATGGGTAGAAAACCTTTGGCACCCCAGCTGTCATTGAATTAAAGCTCCAGTCATAGGCAGCAATCAGTTGGGGATCAGTCAATTAGAAGCGATCATTATAGGAACTGTAGTTCAAAACAGGTGGTGTGCAACAAGCTGATAAAAGAGTAGTTCTTACGAAGTTGGCATGAAAAGAAATAAACAACGTATACAGGATTTTTCAATAAGAGAGCACACAGAGCAATGGTTATGTGTAAGTAAAGTAACACATAGAACCTAGTCAGAATTTAATGATTTCTGACTAAACACCATGAGTGACTGCACCTTCCATGCAGTAATATTTAAATGATATAGCACCAGTCTACCAAATGCTCCCTTGGTGGTTTTAAGCTTGCAGGTCACTTTACAAAGTATATCACACTTAATGATTAGCTGTAGTGACTTTGGGTTCCTGTTGGGTACCCATTAGCAATTACTTCAAATAGAGTATATACAGTATATCACATGATTGCTCCAGACAAGTAAGGCATGACATTAATTAAATCATAGACAATTCAGTCAAAATGTTGACCAATATTAATCTCTTCCTTTGACTGCAGCAATCATGTGACATATTTATAACATACTTAAATCAACTTTTGATGAGGACCCAAGGGTGCCCAAAGTCTCCCCAGCTGGCCATGCTATCCGTGCTAGTCTACCTCCAGTTTAAACTGAGCCCTCCACTTAATGAAAGCCTATTGTTGAGCTGCCTTTATGAATAAAATGTTTGGTAGACAACCAAATTAAAACATGTGGCCATTCTCTATACAACTGGTTACCAACTAAGCAATGTTCCAATAGATGCCATTAGTAGGGTCAGCTGACTACATTTTGTAAACTCAAAAAGTGCCTATGTGCACTTGCCTGCTTTTGCCCAATTCAACCTATTTTGGTCAGGATTTGTTAATGAAATCACAACCAACAGCCATCTTAGGTTTAGAGCCAGTTTTGGAACTGGAGAATCCCATGAACAACTAGAATCAGTATCCATATTCTGACTGGATAAAGATCTCTGACCTTTATACGCAATCATATTCAATAGTTATCCAAAGTCCCAAATAACTAAAGCAACAAGATCCTACTGTATACTAAGGAACCGTTAAGGTCCCATCTGGGGGACATCTATAAGCAGGCAGAAGTTGACATAAAAAAATGGAAAAGAGTAAAGTGAGATGGCTTAATATTCTAAAATAAAGAAACAGCAGAGCTAACCTAGGACACGGGGAATGAATGATTACTGAGTGAATAAGAACAGAGCTTTAAGGTACACATAAATATTAATAATCCAGGTAACGTACAGTCGAGCTGCGCTTTTTGTCCTAGATCTGCCCCATTCAGAACATCCTAAAACTACGACTTCATCCTACAAAATAATAAAATAAAGCCCTTTAACCAGTTACTTTGAAACCATTAATTATATTCATTGTAGGAGACAGAGCTGCCTGTCTCTGCTGGGACTCGAACCGTGAACCTTGGAGGTGTTAAGCGAGCATGCTGCTTTTCTCTGCGCACCGCCCGAGATGCTTTTAAGTACTCTGTTTATCACTTCTGACATAAATAAATGAGAAAAAAATCAGACCTTTGAAGAAGAAAAACTTCATCTAATATTGTTAATTAGCCATGACAAACGATGAAATAACATTGTAAATCTTTCATAGAAACAGCGACTCGATTTTAATTACACACATTCATAATTTAGCAAACAACATCTTACTTCAACAGGAAAGCTTAATACGTCCTCTACTCCAGGCTTTAGACTGATGCACCAGGCGGCTAGGAGATGGAGCTGTTTTTTTTTTATTCCCCTTCTTACCGTGTTTTTCTATAACCTCCCTAACGTTTCGCTCTCCTTTGTTCTTCATGGACACAGATGAGGTATTTGATGTGATAAGTATCTCTCTAAGTTATTTATTGTACAATGGGAGGATGAGAAAAAACTTTTGTTGTCTGTAACATCAACACATTGCACCAGTGTCTGGCTTTTTATTGTACAAGCCCAAAGAGGAAAAAATAAAAAGGAAAAAAAACACCATAATAATACTGTAGATTTCCTCAGTAATTATTTGAGAGATAGAGAGATAACATGGTGCAGTTGTACAATAAATAGAAGGAAATTATCTAATATCCCCAATCTGCTGGGAATAATATCAAGGTGGAGATCTTATACACTCCAAGCGTATCTGCTCTAGAAAACAGATTAACTATTTAGATGACTATCTTGACATTTAAAGTGGAACTAAACCCGAAATCCGACATTTAAAGTGGAACTAAACAAAAGCAAGAATGAAAAGACTTTGATTAAACGGTGTAAGAGGGTCTTTTTACGTTTTGTTTTTTTTGGATGGCACAATGGTTCTGCTAATTGAGAAAGCAAACAAATTATGCCATAATTGTGGGGAAATGCACTTTATATCCCCAAGTTATTATTTTTTGGCATCTATATAAATCACTTTTATATTTGTGCTTAATGTTTTCTTAATTAATAAAACATTAAATAGTGTTTGGTTGCTGCTTCAGAGTCTTTAAAGTGTATTTAACAATACCTGTTGATCTCCCAGAAATCCTTTTCCTAATTTTTTTCTAACTTCCCTGGGCTGACAACACAGTGCCCTATCTGCTCTGAAAATCTAAGCAGCATTGTCAGCCCTGCCTGCTGGGCTACAGTTTGCCTATCCCCCCCCCAACACACACACACACACACGTCCTACTCCATATGCATACACTGAGGCGAGGTTCACACCTGCACTACACTGCATTACACGCGGGCCACGCGATCACACGGCCCAATTGATTTCAATGGGGTGACATCCACGCAAGAATCTAAAAAAAAAAAAAGGTACAAGTACCTTTTTTTGCGACACACAACGCGCTGTTTTTTTTAGCTGTGTTCACTTGCACTAGAAAATAATGGCACCCACAGCGCGATCGGTTCACACCTTGGCAACTCCTGACCGCGCAGCAATCGTGCACAAAACCGGGCGGATTGCCGAGCGGTCAGGAGTCACCTAGGTGTGAACCTAGTCTGAAGCGGATTTGCTAGAGGAATTGAGAAAGTTCACGCAAAAACAGAGTGAAGATTCACTTTAATTATCCAACCATGAGCAAAGCAAATTCTTGTTTATTTAATATGCACATGACTGGATAATTAAAGTGAATGTTTACTGTTTTTGTGTGAACATTCTCATTCTCGCTTAGTAAATCAGCCTTAATTATTTATTTCCCAGAAAAACAATGCCGCCGTCTTCAATCCCAAGAACCTGTCCACACACTGTGCGTAGAGAAAGGTGACGTAGCTTGGGTGACGTAGCTCTGGAGAGTGTGCCTATTTCAATAGGACATGAGATACCAGGTGCTGTCCCTGTGAGAATTTTACAAGCATGGTGATGATGGGAATAAAATAGTTCTTGCTACAGAACAAGCTAAAAGAAAAAAATCCATTATTGGACATGTTCTACAGGAAAAGAGGGAGGTTTGGATAGTAAATTTGTGTAAAGCTACCATTTAGCTTCCATTTTGTACATGATCACTTGCTCTTAAATTGGGTAGAAATAGATCGATTGGGACCTAGATCAGTGATCAACTCTGTTTCAGTTAGCTAGGCAATTTAAACAAATGAAGGCTATGCTCATCAAAACTGGTATCATCCAATAAGACAGTGAACATCTACGGTATATAGCAATACTGTTTCAACAAACTTTCTCAGTAGGCAATCCCATAATGATCACAATGCCCCTGCTCAACGAAGCTTGCTGGACACCAATGGGGAGGAAATACATTAATGATTTATAGAATATGCTCAAACCATTGAAAGTAAACTTGTCAAGAGAGAATTATGTAGACTGCCATTGCTGACCTTTTTATCTAAGAATGACAGCTGCCTGGGTGTCATGTTAATGCTATGGCTTCACTATGTTAATTCACTGACCTGGAACAAACATAGAGATAAGGAATTCTTAGATTCAATAAAAATGTGTAATATTTAAGCATTATTTCTATAAGGGCAGGACCAAATATAATTCACTTTGCTGAAGTCAGACCAGCACAAGGGCCAGTTCTCATTGACCACTATGTATAACGTTTCTCTGACTTTTATTTGCTGCTTGTCTATGACTCATAACTATAGAAGATAGATCCAGCAGACCAACAATCATTTTCAGAAGGAGATCAATGGTAGCCCCTATAGATCTCTCATGACATGTGTACTTTAAGGAGTCCTTTACAGTTCTATGTTGAGTTGTTAGGACATTTTCCTTAATGGATTTTGGTGCGTTTGCCCCCATCGTTTCTGCTATGTAATGATTAGAAATAGCGCTTATTTCACACAGGAAACCACATGTAACAGCAGGAAATGTGAATGTTTTTTTTTTTCAATGGTAATATGACTTGAGGGGAAAAAAAAGGAAAAAAAATGCATTTCAGCTTACGAATTCAATGAAAGTATAAAAAATAGCGTGCGTTAAAAATATGAAAAATGCATGCATTTTAAAAGTACACGTGTGAATAGACCTTAAGAGCTTAGAGAAAACCTTTTGTTCGCAAACTGTACCACGAAGAACAATTTCATTAAGTTTGGGCTATTCAAAATAGGTATGCAAAATTGAATAAAGCACACCCATGACAAATGCAGCCTTAGTTTGTTAGACAATGGGGGTCAATGACACTGTAAAGATGATGAATGATTGTATAAAAGTGTCAGCATCATCTCTTTGTTACATTCATTGTGTTTTACAGATGAGTCTGCTTATGAAGATCTACATTTTTATTTAAACTGGATGAAATGGCCAAATCTGATCAAACATTAACC